GAGCCCGATGTGGGACTCGATCCCGGGACTCCAGGATCATGACCTGAGCCGAAGGCAGTCGCTTAACCAACTGAGCCACCCAGGCGCCCCGAAGATTTTTAATTCTGCTATCATCTCCAGACTTTCCTTACTCTTCCCCAGCATGTGTCACCTCCCCGATTTGGCAAGCTCCTCAGCAGTTCTATCTGCATTAGCTGCTAAACCAGGAGGCCAGGAAGTAGGACTCCTGGGTCCTCTCTCTCATCCCAGGACTTCTCACTTGCTTTAGTTCCAGCAGTGGCCTCAGGTGAGTTAATGCAGGGTACCCCATACTCCCCAGTGTGTTAACTTCAAAATGACCCAAACCTGCAGGCATCGTGTGAGTTCTCTTAGGCTCTTCCATAGTCTAGTGGATTTCATGATTAGAAAATAATTTCATTCTCCAAAGCATCTTAAATATCGTGCTACACTGGGAGAACATTGTTTCAGTTGATGCTGCCTCCCAGCTGAGACTTAAGAAAACAAAAGAAACAATTTCACATGATAATATTAGCAAGTGGCCTCTTCTGTAAGCCCTGTCTTCATGCCCTTTGAATTGCATTATCTCCCCTCCGTATTGTTGATTTACTTGCATAAAGAATTTTGCTGTACAAAGCTGGGAAAATTATTTCACACTTGTTTTGATCAGAAATCTGTTGAGGTGGTTAAACCGTTCGGTATATTCAAATGTGCTTAGCTTTGCTAAGAGAAGGGGAAGACAATCAACTTGCTAGCATAAATCAAGATGCCTAAGTGCTATCTTGAATATTTTCAGATGGATTTAAAAGATAGTTTAAATTTAAGAAGGTCGGAGATGCCAGGAATCTAACATATGCCCACTGTTCATTATTTCAACAGTATTCCAATGTCACGTCTCATTGGTGTCATCTGACATCTAGATTCTGTAAAGCCAAAATGAGGTCACCATGACGGCCATCTGTGCCATTAATTCATTGTTATGAGTTAACTTGGATTAGGATCTTGGCTAAATTACAAAATGTTTGGTCTTTGTTTTACCTGACGACCATTTGGTAGCTATTTGCATTACTTCCAGTTTCTGAATTTTAGCAGCTAATGTTGACTTTTTTCCTCTTCCTTCCCTAAAGGAGTAATCACTTTATAATAGAATTTGTAACTTTACTTAGTAGGAGTTGGCACATGACTTTGCAGGGGGTGAGGTGCGATAGGTAGTGTATTTACTTAATAATAATAAATTTTGGGGTGGAAATACCTTGAGGCTTTGAGGATTTTATTTACTGTTCATATCAAGTAATCGACCATTGATGTAGGCGTTGTGGAAACTTGCAAAACTGAGAGATTAGTTTTTGGTAGGCCCCTTGTAAATTATGGCTGGAGGAGCAAAAA